ATTTTGTTCCTCTATTAATGTGTGTTCATGTAAGTCTTAAAAGGGAAATTGCCTGAACTCACAAATTTTCCACGCACAAAAAATATATATACGACAATGCTAGGTAGCTCAAATTTTTGTGGCTTAAATGGCTCAAATCTGTCAAAACGACGTCGTTTTGACAGATTTTGAGTGTAAAACGACGTCGTTTTGACAGATTCGTTTTGACAGATTTGAGTGTAAAACGACGTCGTTTTGACAGATTTGAGCCACAAAAATTTGAGCTACCAAACATTTTCCATATATATATATTTAAGAAATTAAAATATATATATATATATATCTTTACTTAGCATCAACATTGAAATTGATATATCTGAATTTTAAGATCTCAACAAATCTCCAAAAAGGCCATTATTGTAAGCATTGACAAATTTTGACAACAAGCACGTATGAGACAATCTTCTTTTCATGGGTCATACAAATCGATCTCAATTTCTGAACTGAAACAAGGAATCTATCACAACAATACCATTTTAACACATAACAAAGTATTTAAATATAAATAATCAGCAGACATGGGCACCAAGCCATACCCGTAGCTTAGATAGGTTGTAATTCACAGTCCTTATCAGAATTATGATCATCAAGGAACCAAGAGAAGTTTGATGGAGCAGGCGTTCTTGGTACCATGGAACACTTGGCAGCATCTGTTCAAATAAATAAGATGTTAATATGATCTTTATATAATCCAGTTAAATGATAGCCTAAAGAGGTAGTACTCACCAGCTTGTGAATACTGGCATTGAAAGAAGAATCTTGACTGAGTACTAGCAAAATAATTAGCACCATGTAGATTTGATTGGATGTCCCTTTTGAAGCATTATATAGTGTTTCCAGCATGGGCATCAACTGTTGATTTCATTGCATAATGCAAATCAAATTAGGATATGTGGCATTTATGTTACGTAAACTACTAAAAATGATGACTGCTCATAAGATTTTTTAGTTACTGTTGTACACAAAATTTGTAAATTGTGTCCATAACATCACTTATCTGACAAGTAATAACCATTGTTCTTTTTTTCTTTTTTTTCTAAAAATTTTGTTTTATCTCTTGCCAAGGTTACCACACAACAATAGGTGGGCTAACTAAATACAAATAAGATGGAAATGATAGCTGCCACTCCATACCAGTGTTTCCAAATCTGTTCGCACCAAGACATACTCCAGAAAATTTGAGTTCCCATGCACTAATGAGTAAAGCAGTAAGATAGCAGTTTCATCAGCCAAGTACCTGAGGAGACAATAGTCACAAAACCAATAAATTTACTTAAAGGATAAACAAATAGATAATACAATTTGATGATATTCACATAAAGTTTTTAACGGTGAATGCATTATGCTAGGCACTTTACCCCTTGTGACGCAAGGTATAAGCCACAAGGCGTAAACATTTTGAATTTTTATATTTAGTAAACAACTAAAATATGTTAAAATATTGTAAATTAAATATAAAAGTGCGAATACATTTTCTCTCAAAGCATCAAACATTTCACTCCAGAGAAGGAAGCTTGCACTCTTTACACGTGAAATCAACATTCTTAGCTTCAGTTTTCAAGCCTTAGCTTTGTGTTTTTTCTTGGTCAATAATTTACTTGATTTTTCTCATGAATATAGTTTCAAAAGGAGTTCTTTTTATGTTTAAATAATGTATTAGACTAAGTTTAACAACAATCCAAGATCAAGATCTCCATATGCACAAGCCTTTGAGGAGTGTCGCCTAAAAATAAAGCCTCAAGGCAAGCCTCGATAATGCGTTTTAAAACTTTGTATGAGAGAGAATAGCGCAATAGCATTTTCTACGTTTTTTCATTTTCATTTCTTTTAGATGGATGAGATAGGTCAGTTCATGCTGCTCAAAGACCAACCTCAATTAATAAAAAAAACACTCTTAGCAATCGTCAAGAAAGAATTTATCTAAGGAATTAAAGGGGGAAATGGTTAATATAGTGTATAAGGCAATATGGAGCCTAAAAAAGACATTTCAAAAACATTTAAAGCTAACATGGTCCCATACATATTATCCGTAACTACAAAATGCATAACATTAGTAATACTATGGGGCACCACAGGACATCACAGTATCATATTACTTCATGTTTTAATCTACTATCTCGGAGACATCACAAATGAGTTGGACACACCCATGTTTTAATCTACTATCTCGAAGGCATCACAAATGAGTTGGACACAACAAGTAATTTGAGCGCGACTCATATTTGATACATTAAGAGCATATTTAAATGAGCAAATTATAATATAGAAATAAAATTATTAAATTATAGGACTCACATTTTAGTATTTGATTTCAATTTCTATTGTTTGAATTAGATTCCGATGAAAATTTCATTCAATAAAGTTGACAATTTTTTAATCATACAATTAATAACACAAGAGAATGTCCCACTGTAAAGTTGATTTATTAGGTTGAAAGTTAAGATATAATGTCCCACTGTAAAGCACCATAAGAGAACAAATATAGACAGCACAGAAAACAATTCCACTGTCATTGTTTCTATATAATGGGTTAGGCTTGTGGCTTAGAATTTTGAGAAGCCTAACAGACATTTTATCAAACAGTTTGAAGGCAAGAAAAAAAAACAAAAAACACAAATCCTTTGTTATTAAAGTTTTGCTTTTAAAAAAATGTACATACACAATCAATTTAAGTTGGGGCTTTTAAAAAAATGTACATAATCAGTAAAAAAAATGATTTGAAATCACCTTATGATCGTCCAAGAAGACCGAGATGCTAATCTTTTAAGCGAGTTCGCCACATCAAGATTGTCTGGGATGTGAGTGAAGAAGATCAGGACGGGAGAGTGGATTCTCATATCTCTATCCTCATCTGATTGTTTGAGATAGAGTGAGGGTGAGAGTGAAAGATCAATCGATTGATTATGAGAAGAAGAACATGACAACAAAAGCATGAGAATGCAACTGAGAGAGAGGGAGAGTTGACTGTTGGTGACAAAGTTCAGAGATCGTGAGAGTTGAGAAGAAGAGACACTGTGAATTTGTTAGAGATTGCCGATTGATGAAGGGCAAGTGGAGAAGAGATGGACTGTTGCACTCAAACAATTTTCAGACAGAGAGAGAGTAAGAGTGGGAGATATTTTATATGGATGGTTATTGGATCAGCTGTAAAACGATCTTACTTTGCGTATACGGACACATTTCAGAGTCTCCTTATGGCGAGTGTGGTTTGAGGATATGAGGATCAACGAGAGATCAATGTGGTCGTAGGTCGAGTGTGGTCTGAGGATCTGTGTGAGAGAAAGACAGAGGGGAATGGCGAATTTTAAATTCCCGCCCCACGTTTCAAATTACCCCCCAATTTTTTTGCGACCAAAAGACTAAATTAGTCGCAGAAAAAGGTACCTTCGCCGACAAACGTTTTTAGTCGCCAAATCTCAATCAACAGCGACTAAAATATTAGTCGCTAAAAGTATTAATTTGGCGACTAATTTTTTTTGGTCGCCAAAATATGACCTTCCGCGACCAAATTTATAGTTGGTCGCCAAAAGCATATCACTTTCTGCGACCAATTCATTTTTGGTCGCCAAAATATAACCTTCTGCGACCAAATCATTTTGGTCGCCAAAAATAATGATCATTCACGACTAATTAATATTTTGGTCGGCAAACGTCATTTTTTTGTGACAAAAATTTTTTTGGTCGGCAAATGTGTAAATTCTTGTAGTGTCAAAGTTTCAATATCAAAACTAAAAGGAGAACATCTTGTCCAAAATGCTATGTAAGTCTTTTTTTTTTCTTTTTTGATTGCCTAAAATAGGATGCAAAAGAGAGCATAACCATGTTCATGGGTAAAGGGTGTTGAAAACAAATTACTTGATGATTTTCGAAGTTGAAAGAAGAATAATAAAGGCTGCAACAAATTCTCGCAGTTGCAAAAAAAAAAAAAAATCACCCTTCCATACCCAAAACATACCCATGACGTACCCAAACGTATTTGCTGTACCCAGCATGTATTCGCCGTACCCAGCACGTGTACCCGGTACTCGTACGTCACCATTTTTGGAGTACTCGTGATTCATAGATACATGACAATTGGCCATTTTAAGATAATTTTAGTTTGTACATTTTTATTTTAGATCAATCGACTTCTCCTTGAAGATGACACTGCTCTGGAGAATCATAGTTCGGATTACCACTCAATCATCAAAGAGTTTAGAGCTTTTCTTAGTGACTGCAAGGATGTATTGGATGAGGCGACTACAATGAACCTCTTAGAAAGGTAAATTTTATGTTGTAATGTTGAGATATCCTTGTCAGGTCCCATCCCTGGGGGTTTGATAGCACCTTTCCTATAACTTGACATGACAAACACCTGTTATCTTTAATTTATCACTAAACTATAATTAAACTGAATAAGGATAAAACGTACCACTGATATAAAACAAAAACTGATGTGTACAACACAATACCATAGTCACAAAATGCTAGGGTATGTAACCTTGGCACAACCCACATCTATGCAATGAACTAAACCAAATAAAACCAAAGCTTCTCCCCCAATTAATTGGGGTCAGCTATGTGTTTACAATGATCATATCATTCTTTCTTTTCATTGCATCTACCGGTCAAACCATCTTATTATACATGACTGAACCATCTTAGTGTGTTGTTTTTAATTTATCTTCAACCGTTGCTACTCCTATCATTTCACGAATGTGATCATTTGTTGGACCAAAATGTCGTCTTTCCATGCAATGGGCTTGTGAGCTTCACTGAGGCTTACAAAGTGGATAATTATTTTCTATCCAATTACGGGCTGCACCATTATCTTCTCTTCTTATTTCTAATTTAGTGTTAATTCTCTCTCTTACTTTCTAAAAAGCCATTTTGAGAGTTCCTCTCTCTAGAGAGTCCCTTCTCTCTAGGGTTTGATCTAGTTAGAGTGCTTTCCTTCCCTTTGCCCTTTGTAAAAGTTGTGTTGATCGTCGAGGGCTTCATTTTGACCCGTGAATCTTGGAGTTTGGAGTATTTTAGTTTTCTACATCTTCCCATCATGGGCTCCGAAATTGAGGTAGGGATTCCTACTCACTTTTATGGTCTTTAACATAGATTTTTGGTGATTTTGATCTTGTGTTGAAGTTGAGAAATTTTGGGACTTAGGGTTTCAAAATGTCAAAGAGGGTTTTATTATTTTGATTCTAAAATGAGTATTTTGAGTTTCAAAATAGCGGTGTTGATGTTAATTGTTGATATATGGACCATTGGGTCAATATTGGAAAATGGGGGAGAAAGCCCTAATTCGTTGTGTAAATTAATTTGTATAATTAAATTGGGAAAAATGTTGATATTTGGAATTGAGTTGGAAATAACGAAGTTGACTCATTATATGGTAGAATAGTGGAGTTGGATTTGTTAATCGCCCACTTTTGAAAACATTGATATTTTATCGGTTGGGAGCTTTTATTATCTGTTTAGAAATAATTGCTTGGGCTACCGGTGGAGGGTAGTTTTGATTGTTGTAGACAATGCATGATGATTAGGCAAACTAAAACTAATCAATTGGATACGTCATAGAGTATGACGGTTGATAGAATACATTAACCGTTATGTATTGATTGATTGTGTATATGACCTTTGTGTATATATGCATTGTGTGTATGTGGGAGGAGATAGGGGATGTACTCCACGGTTTAGGGGAAGATAGGGGATGGACCTCTAAACCGGATGTTGTTTGGGAGGAGATAGGGGATGGACTCCACTGATACAGCTCATATGCTTGTCAGATAATGTGTTGATACAGCTCATATGCTTGTCATTGGAAGTGTTGATACAACTCATATGCTTGCCATTGGAAGTGTTGGTATAGCTAATATGCATATCTGTTGAAATGTGGATACAACTTGTATGCTTATCTGTTGAGATATTGATATAACCTGTGTGTTTATCTATTGTAAAAATGGAGAACGTTTAATATGAGTCTTGGTCTTACATAAGTGGTTGGCCAGGTTCTGAGCCATTGATGGAAATTGTGAAATTGATAAGAAATGGAAATGGATTATGAATTGGTTTATGAAAATTGAACACTTATCAATTGCTAATGTCTTAGTCATTGCTCATACTGTGTTTAGCATATCTTTACTGAGCTGTGGCTCACCCTATATAGGAATATCATTTTCAGGTACAGGTAGCATGCCACCTCCAAGGACATAGCTTGGGAGGCTAGAGGCGGACACACTTTTGTTGTCTTATTTCTTTTTGATGTATTACATGTAAATTCAAGCCAAGGGCTTAATGTGTAAATGAGTTAGTACTTTTTTATTGTAACCAAGTGTTAACTTGGAAAGCTGTAAGCCCTTAGGGCATTTGCTTTTGTCGTTAACATGTAATACTTTTTTTGTAATGGAATTCTGATGAATAGAAGAATGTGGAGTTTTTATATATCAATGCGTGTCTATATTGATGGGTTTAATGTTATTATTTTGAGGGCGTTACACTTTATTAAGTATATAATTAGCAGAAAGTATTGTTTCCCCCTACAAGTTCTGTGGTAATCCAGAACTTATTAACATGGCATTTATCATTTCTTTTAAAGTCCTATTTTTCCTTTCAACAATTCCATTTTGCTGAGGTGAGTAAGGAGCACTGGTTTGATGAATTATTCCATGTTCTTTACAAAATTCATCAAAATGTGATTCATATTCACCACCTCTATGACTTCTAAGTTTCTTGATTTTCTTACCAAGTTGATTTTCAACTTCATTCTTATATTGAATGAAAGTTTCCAAAGCTTCATCATTGGTTCGAATTAAATAAACATAACTATATCTAGTATAGTCATCTATAAAAGTGATAAAATACTTTTTCCCACCCCTAGTTTGAATTGATTTAAAATCACAAATGTCACTATGAATTAATTCAAGTGGTTCCGTACTTCTTTCAATTGAATGAAAAGGAGTTTTAGATAATTTTGCCTCAACGCAAATTTCACATTTATGATTTGAATCAATGTTAAATTTAGGTAAACATTCCATATTAATTAATCTACGCAAAGATACATAATTAACATGTCCTAGTCTACCATGCCATAAATCTGAAGACTCAAGCAAGTAAGAAGAAGATGTAGTATAATTAATAACTGAGGGTACAACGGTTATTACATTTAACTTGAAAAGGCCATCAGACATGTAACCTTTTCCTACATACATCCCGTCTTTGGTAAGTACAAACTTGTCACTTTCAAAAACTAGCCTAAACCCATTCTTACTCAACAAAGATTCGGAAATAAGATTCTTGCGAATGTCCGGTACATGCAGCACATTGTTGAGAGTGAGTTCCTTTCCAGATGTCATATTGAGTACAATCTTTCCTTGTCCTTCAACTTTGGAAGTTGAGGAGTTGCTCATAAAGAGTTGTTCACCATTGTCCATTATAGAATAAGATGTAAACATCTTTTTGTCGGCACAAATATGGCGAGTAGCACCAGTGTCCACCCACCATTCTTTAGGATATCCGACGAGATTTGCCTCGGAAACAACTGCAGAAAGATTTATGACATCTACACCATTGGAAATTATATCCATTTCGGTTATATCGGCTTTAGTAACCTTCTTATTTGTTCTTCCTTTGCCTTTGCAAAAATCAGTTCTTAAGAACTTCTCTGGCTTTTCACCATTATTCACTGGCACAGTCCCAACAGAAGAAGAGATTGGCGTAATGGCAAACACCATACCAATACTGGTTTGAACATAAGTTTGACCAGTTTTAGTAGCCATGAATTCTAAATTATAAAATAAAATTATAATTAGAATTTTATACTACACAGAAAATTTAAACCAAAAGACACAGAATTTTAAATTCTGTAAAAATAAAAGAAACAAGAATTGTAACTTTTATTTCCAATTAATTTGAAAATAAAATAAAATTTTATTTAAACAAATTAAACGAAAACTACAGAAATAAATTCTATTAAAATAAAAGAAACAAAACAAAATGTAACTTTTATTTTCAATTAATTTGGAAATAAAATAAAATAAAATTTTATTTAACCAGATTAATTCCATACAGAAAACTAATCCAAAATCATAGAATTAAATTCTAAAAAAATAAAAGAAAAAAGAATGTAGCTTTTATTTTCCAATTAATTTAGAAATAAAAATAAAATTTTATTTAACCAAATTAATCCCACACAGGAAATTAAATTCTGTAAAATAAAAGAAATAAGAAAATAACTTTTATTTTTCAATTAATTTGGAAATAAAATAAAATTCTATTTAACCAAATTAATTCCACACAGAAAATTAATTTCTGTAACAC